AAATCTGCCTGGCTTTTGCATTGAAAAACATCCTTCTACTAACAAATGTGTACTAATGAGATGTGCATGAGCACAACCTTGTAAGAGGAAAACCTCTTTAACCTCCATACAGGAGGGAAAAACTGAATAAAAAATTCAGTTCTATAGGCCATGAAAAATTGTAGGAGATTACTTTAGTCTTTCTTCTCCAATACAAAGCAATTTTGGTGGAATGGGTTATCTCTAGAAATGAGCAAGAATTCATTTCCACTGTGTAGATCAGCTCATTTATACTTAACATAGTCAACAAAACTTTAAAGACCTGGTCACCAAAGTCCTAAGCCATCAGCAGGTACTCTTAAGACTTTGCAGAGGTTGGGTAAGACATCACAAGACTGCAGAAAAGCAAAATTCAATGTTCAACACGAAAAAAAAACAAAAAAAAACCCCAAATAGAAGCGATATCAGAGTGGGGTCGAGACAAATCCATCACCTTCTCTTTCAGTTCCTGGAACTGACCATCTCTGTGTGAGCTGCTGAAAGAAAACAAGGAATACTATCCACAAAACTCAGTCTACCACAAATAAGTCATTTCTGCTCAATTTCTTTCTACGACAGAGCAACATTTCTGGGTAGAAGGAAAATGCAAGTTGTTAATATCTCAATTTTAGAAATGCTTCTGATACTGTTACACATGCTATTTTTATAAGTATGTTTGGGAAGCAGGATACAGATGATTATGAAGTGTATGCAAAACTGATTGGAAAACCACACACTGAGAAAATTCAGCAGTTGTTCACAATCAGAAGGGACGGATGTATTAAATGAAGTTCTGTAGGGGCGCATCCCCAGTCTGGTAAGACTCCAGGTTTTCATTAAATGACCTGGATGATTGCATAGAGATTGCTCTTATTAAGTTTACTGACAGCTACCAGCTATGAGGGACTGGAATTAGGCTGGAAAGTAAATTTTGGATCCAGAATGATTCATACATGTTTGAAAAAACAAATATACATTCAGTAGAGGTGCATGCAAGCTACCAGACCTGGGCAGAAATAACCAAATGAATAAAGGATGGAGAAAAACCACCTAAGTGACAGTTGTGGAAGGACTCTTCAGATACTGTGGGTTGCAAACTAAATGTAATTCCGCAGTGGCATTTCATATGTAAGAAAAGCTAACACCCTGATACATGTAAAGGTGGGTATAATCTGCAAGATCTATGAAATCATCCTTTCATTTTACTCAGCACTGATAAAAGCCTCAGCTCAAAGGCAGTGCTCAGGTTTGGGTACCACAGTTCAAGAAAGATGTGGTCCAGCTGGAGTTCATCCAGATTGAATCAGTGCAGTGTGGTCAGACATCTAGAAGACCACAACCTCTGAGACTGGGGGGAGAAATGAGTTATCTATGCTAAAAAGAAGAGAGGAAGGAGAGAGAAAGGGTTATTGCTGTGTTCAGACATCCGGAATAGTAATGCACAGAGGCAAGGAGTAATCTGTCATCTGTGTTAGAACAGGAAGCAATGGCAACAAATTGCAGATGCAGAAAGTTTTTTCCTTAATGTTTAAGTCTAGTGAATGAATTTGACCTGATGTGGAGTTTCCAGCGTGGATGTATTTAAACATGAGGTGGTTAAATGAAACCATAGGTATGACCGACACTAGCTTAGGGCAGAGGAAGAGCCCAGACAAACTTTCTCTGCCCAGTTTTTGCTCAAGGAAATTAAGATTGCTGTGCTTCAGCTCCAGACCCAGAGATGTGCGTCTTGGCATGCACAACCCAGTTACTTTTTCTCTTAATCTTTCATTTTGCTGCCACTGAGGCAAAGCTGACAAGTGACGTAAGCAGCTTGATGAGCAGGATTTATATTAAATAGCACTATTGTGATAAATTCCTCAATAAGAAAGATAAAATCTTTCTTCCTAGGAGACTTATCTCTGAAGATTTCCTCCTGTCTTATTCTAGCTCCTCACATTAGTTTTCTATCCCTTTCAGACATTTTTTTCTCTATTTCTCCCCCTGCCTATTTGGCAAGTTAAGAAGTTCTGGGGCTATTGCAGAGACAACACAGCACAGAACAGGGGAGCTGATCTTATGAAAACCAACAAGTAGGAAAGGGCAGAGATCTCTTAACAAGTCTCTTTTCCTGGCCATTCCCACCCTGCAAATAAAGGGTGCAGCTTGAAGAATGCGTAAGAAATTTGCACTGCTCTCCGTGGTCTGCAGAGTGTCCATCTCACACTAAAAGCGTGGCTTCTAATGGCAACAAAACACCAACCCTAAAACCAAACAACAAACCCAAGCAGAAAAGCACTGAACATCTTCATCTAGTATCTTTATTTTTCCTTTGCCTCCTATACAAATCATATTAAAAAAAAAAAATTAAAAAATAATGAAGTCACCCAAATGCATACATCTGAAATACAAAGAGTTTTCTAAAGTTGCCTGAGCTGCAGTCAATTAACCATTTAACTTGTGCTGGGTTGCTATGGGATTCTCAGCTGGTCACTTGGAGCAGCACGAAGGAGGTTCACTGAGCTCTGTCATTCTGCCCACTCCTGCAGTGATCCTGCAGTAAGGACTAACTGAACATAAAGTTTGCTAGAGTAAAACATATAGGGTCTTCCTGGACTTCAGAAAGGCCAGAAAGCATTTCAGGGAAGTCCTCCCAGTTGCAAGATCGCAAGATCTTTTGTGGAAACACTATCACACTGGTATCATCAGAGCCACACACAAGCCTACTCTAACCAGAAGATAAATGCTTCCCCCACCTTGCACGAAACATCACTGCTAGTTTGCATTTTCTGACCTTTTCATTCTGAAGGACAGCCAAAAGTTCTGTATTACTAAAACATCCCATCAGAAAACTTTTGAGAGTGGCTAGTGGAGAGGAAAGAAACCAAATGGTGGTGGGACAAGCAATTCTGAAATATCTGGATGCCTCCTCAAAACAATCCATCTGGTTTCCATTTTTGCCCATCATACTTAAAACACTAAAATGAGTGATATGATAGCAATTCACTTTATTGCTTCCATCGCAGATGATTTCCAGATGAGGAGACAAGTCTCATGAAAAAGCCAGGTTATCAGGAGAAAAAAACCCAACATGTTAAGAACCCAACTGAGTGACCAAAAGAGCTTCATTAACCTTTAGCAAAAGGAAACCCAATGTACTGTAATCAGTCCCCCTCAAAAGCTTTTCTCATTGCACTAAAATAACTAAGAAGACAAGGGATGGCAGACATTAAATGAGATGGTTTCCCACCCCTCTCTCTGTCTTTGCTCTGCAGCTGGTGCAAAGCACCATCTGTGGGATGCTGAGGAAACCAGTACCTGGTACTCGGGCCTCAGGAGCACCACCAGCACAAGCTGTAAGGAGTTCATACCAGGGTGAAGAAGGCTTCCAGGCTTCCTTACCAGCTCAGTGACTACACCATTCCCTTGTACATGACAGAGCTACACACCATACTGACTCAAGGCTCTCGAAGAAAGGTTTGGGTCTGAGATCAGGAATATTTCTCATTTGGTCACCCAACACCTGGACAACATCAGCATGCACAGCAACGCAGTGATCATCAGGGCTTGCATGAATGAATCACCAGATGCCTCTGGTGACATGTTTGATGAACCAGACGAAGTATCCCTTCTAGCTGGTGGCATCCAGGAAACTCCTCCAGCACAGTTGGTATCAGCCACCTCTGAGCTAGGGGCCCAGCTTATGGCTCAGCCCCAAGAGTGATGGGAGCTCCTGCCAAGTTGCCTTTGATCTTTTCATGGAACGGCTGCATTCCTGCCCTGTTAAATCACGCGCCCAGACTCCCTCTGCCTACTAGGACTCATCACCACGTCTCAGGCAGCTTCAAAATAAGCCCCAGCACCAAACCACTCCTTAGTGTGCTGCTACAGTAAGTGGACATTGCGTCTAGTCACCATCCATGGGATTAGGCAACACAGCCAGGCTAAGCTGCTCTACACCTGGTTTAGTTTACCCTCAGATTTAGGGAGGGAAAACAATTTTCTGAAGTTAGGTTCATGCTTTAGGGCATCTTAAGGCCAAGGAGAGGACAAAGTCAGTCCCACTATATCACTTCAGGCAATGTAAAATGATTCAGAAACCATAAACTACCTCTGTACTTCCAATGCCTTTGCTTTCAGAAGGGAAATGCTTGCATCAGAGCAGAACAGCAAGCTCCATGCAGCATATTTAGCTGCAACAAGCAGAGCTATAGCATGCAACAAAGTACCTGCATATTGCACACAGTTAGAAATATCAGAGCCTGTCCATCCTGGAAAGACTGGGGTCAGGATTTGGTGACTGTGCCCTTCATAAAGGTGCCCTTCTACACTCACCTACCTACTCTTTTGCAGAGATTAAATAGATTTTTTATACTCCACAGTAATAGTGAATTGCTCACCCCAGGTTTCTAAAACAGGGGTTAGCATCTCATTGAAATGGCAGATTTCTAGCAGGACCTGAAATATTTATTAGACAAGGTAGCAGTAGATTACACTGGAGGTGGGAGAGATGGCAGTGATCCCACCATGTTCAGCCGAGTCCCTTACCCCCGTTTCCCCACCCCTAGCCCTCTATTCACCGTTGCTGGATGCCCAGCCCATTCACACACTGATCTGAAAAAATAAATGAGTAACATTTAGATTTTGTTTTTTCAAAAAAAGCAAACCAGCTTTTTTTGAAAGGCTCTGCAATATCTGGGGTGCCTTAAGAGCAACCCCTGTGTCTGCCAGTCTTTCAGCTGGAGATGGAGAAGGAGGAAGGCAGCCTGAAGGGTACTCTCCAGTGGTCACCCGGAGAAATTCTTTCCGGGGAAGCAGAGACACATTTTACAAATCAAAGCAATTAAGTCACAGTTTGTATGCAAAGGTCCAGATTTGTAGAATTCCCTTCAAAGTAGCACATAAAATTGTTAATGATATTTAAGGTGGTTAAAGGAAATCAGAGTAAACAAAAGTAAACTACTGGAGGAGGGGGGTAAAAAAATACAGACAGGCTCACTCACCAAAGTCTGACTGCAAATCCTTTTTCAGTCCACAAAGCATGTCTGCTGTTATCTATCAAATCATTCAACTAATTGCAACAGCCGCTCCTTTCTCTCTCCCTGCCTGCACTGGAATCACTTTCCAGCCAAGCTCGGGCTCACTTTCAGGCTGCCTCCCCCAGCCGAGCGGGGCTGCAACGCACACGCTGCTCCTCACTTCACGGCAGGAGAATAACAAAGAAATTGTCCTGGACACTCCAGTTTGCGAGGACTCAAAAATGTGGCAATCCTTTAGAATGAAATGTCTTTACATGGCTGTTTAAAGTGTGACTCGCCAGTCCCGTGTAGAAATAGGAAAATGAAGGGTATAGGTTTTTTTTTTTTAGCTGGTCCTAAAAATCCTGTGCTAGTTCTCTCGGCTCGCCTGGCCATGAGGCATGGCAAAGCAAAAGTTGGAAACGCAGTGATTAAAGGGAACAGCTGGTGGAAGGGGAGGCAGCCGCTGAAGCCTGACTCTCCGGCAGATGCAGCAAATGTCGAGCGTGCACTTCATTCCCAGCGGTATTCCAGCTCCTCGCGCCCCGCCGGCCGGCAGCGGGCATCATCCCATGGAGATGTGCTGGCCCTTCCCTGCCTGAGCCCTCCTGGGGCTTTCACAGGGATTTCAGGCAGGGAGAAAAATTAAAAAAAAAAAAAAAAAAATAGGGACTAAATAAAAGGAAACAGGGGCTGTTCCGGAGGTGCCGCTGCCCTCCACGCCGTGCTCAGAGCCAGCTGCAGAAGTTGGCCGGCAGCGGAGCCTCGCACAAGCCTCCAAGTTGCAGCAGCAGCATCGGGGCTGAGCGCAGGAAGAGGCTGCGACTGCAGTATTGCCTGACACACTTTCCTCTCCCCCACCCCCTCTTGGCAAGTGCTTGCAGAGCCTCCAGCACCTTTCAAGGCAATGTCAAGCTGCTGTCAAAGCATTACACTGCCTCCCGAACACACACACACACACACACAGCGTAAGGGAGTATGAAGCTGCAGTCTTATGTCCTGCCTACAGCGTTTTCTGAAAACTCTGTTTAACCCTTTCTTAGAAAGGGGTGAGGAACCATCACTAGCAAAACACATGCAAGCCCTGTGGTAGGATTTGGGCCAGCAATGGACTGCAGTGAGGGCAGGCTTCAGGGGCAGTGCTGGTGACCAGCTGGGCCATGGGGAGTCCTGCCTTCAGGACAGGATGCTTCATGGCTTCCCCTGAAACAGCTGGTCCTCAACCGTGGGTGGAGAGAGGGTACTGGACCAGAAAGAAGTTGTTGTAATAAACCAGCCTCTGCTTCCTTTGCTATTCAAATTGAAAAATTTTAGGCTGACTTGTGTTGGAGATGCAGAGCATAGGGGTGATGCTACCGTCCCAGCACTGGGGTACACAGCAGGGGAGGCAGCCAGGGTGCACACAGGGCTCACATCCCACCTGCAGCACCATGCAGGTCCCCATTTCAGCCAAGCTGTGAGACACAAACCCTGTTTGTACCAACCAGCCTGTGCCTTACATCCAAATGGCAATTTTCTCCATAGTCGCCGTATTCCTTTGCCATCATCTATAATGGCAAGATTATACCTACAAAAGGTAAAGAGAGAACAAAACAAGCATTGTCCAAGGCACAAAGTCACAAAAGCCATCTACATTTTTGCAGGAGGCTCCAGCTGTGTTTGAGACTCCTACTAGATTTGGCTGAAAGCGGTGAAGAGGTTACAAATTTAGAAGGAAGCTCATGGAGGTTGAATCTTGTTTCTGTAGGAAACAAATCAGGATAAATCAAAAGAGTCTGGACACATCTGGATGTGCCAGCAGGAAATTTTGGCAGACCTAGGCACCCTAATTCTGTGTGGCCCATGTGGAGGAGAACTGGGTTTCAGCCTAATAGCAGAGTTTGCTTGGATTGAAATGCGGCAACATCTCTATTTTGGTTCGAACTCAGCTGTTTCATGCGCAGACAACTTCTACAAAAGCAATAAAATTACTAAGTAAGAAAAAATTCTACTTACAAAAGAGATATTTTGGTCCATAATTTGTTTTTAAGAAGTTGTTCAGTCTGACAATAGACTTAATTAGTAATTGAGCCGAAATTTGTAATTAGAAATCTTTTCACACAGCTATTAATGCTTCTGCTATAAAGAATTCTCATCTTAAAGGAAAAAACATCTCAAGTTGCACCACAAATACAACAAGAAGCTTCTAATTTGAGTATAGCCCGTTTTTTGGATGCCATGAAATGGACATCTCCAATAGGATGTTTTAAAGAAAAGCTAAAAGCAATCATTTATGTTTGCATTTATTTTATGCCATCGTAAAGTTCTCCCCAGAATATCTGCTGCATTAAGAAAGGGTATGAGAGAGCAGGTCTACTGCATTGAACGGCTTGGTTTTGTGGACAAGAACTGGACAGAGTTGTCCCATTACTCTGTTACTGGTGCAAAAATAAGAGGCATTTTGGCCTTTCAAACCCAGAATTGCTTGTGGTATTTGTTGAGCTGGTTGGCAAGAGCCCAGTGCATCAGGAGCCTGGAGAGGATAAAGATGTTTACACTATGGTTTCTAGCCAAAACCTATAAACACAACACTTTTTTCATGTTTCAGGTGGCTTTATATTAAAACCCGTTGAAGTGAACAGCCCACATTTCTAATGGGGAAGGAAAAAGGTACACCCCACACCCCAACAAAACTAGACTGCCCAAAAGGATATTTTATGACATCAAAATATACAGGTGTCATAAAAGAGCATGAGACATCAACCTAAACTATGTCTTGACAAACTCAAGGAACAGTATGTAGAGCTTCGATTTTTCATGAAAAGTCTGTACATCCTCCTGAACCTCTTGACATTAACTTTATGCTTGTGTGCTTGGAATTAGCAGCTATCCAAAAATGCTCTGGCAATATCAACTACATACAAACCTCACCTAAGAACATCTGGGGTTTATCCCATACACTGTCCGATTGGGAAAATAATTTAATTTGGGGGAGCTGGGGAGGATATTTAAAAAGTCCACAGGAAAAAATGAAAATAAAAAAACAAACATACAAACAAACAAACTCCCTCAGTTCTGTTTTCTTGGCATATACTGATATTTACTCTGCTAGGAGTAAGGAAGGTGTATGGAATGCTTTCTTGGGCCTCCCTTCAGTATAAGATGCTGAACAGAAAGACAGCACAGGCTGAGGACAGTCCATGGCTAGAACAGCTTCTGGGTGGTCCCTGCTGGAAATACCCATCCAAACAGGCTCCTGACTCTCAGCCACACAACTAAAGAGGCGATACCAGTCAACAGGCCATTACTCTCGAGAAACTCGAGTATTTGCTTTTCTCAGGAACAGGCTGACCTTTGAGCAAAATTCATTTGTTTTAAGTAAGGAGTAGCTACCCTTACATGCCTCCACATGCACTAGCGCTTGGTTTAACATTTCTTGTACCCAACACATACTGTCCTGCTCCTGAACATAAAATATCTTTCCCCCAGAGCTAACGTACAAATCCTCCCAGAACCTTGGTGGGAGTGAAACTGCAAACCTTACATGGCCTAAATTGGTTGGCATGACATTTACAGAATACACTTTTATGCAGACAAGACAGGGAGGACAGCAGAGGGAAGATCACAGGCTATCCAGAATATCAATGATTTAGTCCACTGCTTGATGGGCATTTGTTCCTGTGATTTAAAACATTACTTATTTAAACACATCCAAAAGCATCCTGTCAGAAGTCACAGGATGGTGTAACACTACAGTAACATCCTGAAATGGACCATTTAGCATTGAACATGCTCTGAGCTCCAGAGAACATGGAGAGGATCTTACATCACTCCGCATTAGAGAGTCTCAGGAGACTCTCTGAAGACAGCTGAATGAACGTAATGAACAGTCAGCCACAGGAAAATGATGAGGAAAAACACCCAACCACATGCACTTACAGCGTGCAGAGAAACACCAAAGTTCTAACCGCATATAAAAATCATATTAATAGCAACAGAAATTGCTTTGGGTTAGGGAAGGTTCAGAAGAGACTGACGCAGATGCTTTCTATTTCTTTTAAATTCAGATCTTAAATTAAGATTTTACTTTGCCATCTCCTTCTCCTCATCCTACTTCTTGCATCTAAAAATACATGCCTGCACATCAGGGGTCTGCCTGGGGCTGGAGACCCCTCTTCCTGCTCATCCAACCTGTCAAGGCTTGTTTCTGGCACCACAGACCCAGTAATTCCAGATGTCTTACTGGGAAAAATCAGTTTTTATTGGGAACTCCAACCCACCTCTGAACAAAATTAAGAGGTTTAGAGAGCTTATGCCCCCCCCCCCACTTTATTGACTTTTTGTTGCAGCAGACAGGGAGGAGGAGGGACAAGAGGAAGACCCATCACTCTCTTGGTGGAAGAGACTTCACAGCTGATTACCCAGCTGTCCACTGGCTGCACATTTGCTCCATTTCAAGAGAGCTTATCCCCCCCCCCCACTTTATTGACTTTTTGTTGCAGCAGACAGGGAGGAGGAGGGACAAGAGGAAGACCCATCACTCTCTTGGTGGAAGAGACTTCACAGCTGATTACCCAGCTGTCCACTGGCTGCACATTTGCTCCATTTCAACTCCTCCAATTTTACGTAGTTGTGCTTTTTTAGAAACCCCAGCCTGAGGCCTGCAGCGGGGCTCATCTCCCGCCTAAGCAGATGCCCTGTTTTTCACACACAGACCCAAAATGCAACCTGCAACCTGCTTATGGGAAAGGGAGAATGGACTTTAAAAAAAAATATCTTTAAAGAAAAGGCTAAACAGTTTAATAATGGAGCCAGACTAAGTCCTTGATTATTCTTTCCTTTAAGTGCAAATTCCACTAGTCAGTCCTAAACATTAATTTATTGCAGGTAATGAACACTGCAAGATAAATTGGCCCATCCAGTAGGCAATTAGAGCCCTCACTGCACACACACACACAGAGCACAGAGGCGGGGAGCGTTGCTAGAGGTACTTCCAAGACCCCCATCCATTCCTTTCCACACCAGAGCGCAATAAAACGGTCACTGTACATTTTTCTGCTTAACCATGTCAGAAAGAGACATTCACATCTGTCACGGCCTGACAGCACTGCAGGGGAGCAGAGGGGGACGACGCTGGTGGGGAAGGCAGGATGCCTCCCGGAGCTGTGATTAATGGGAAGAAGGAAGCGCTGCAGCGACCCCTCCTCCGTGTGACAGCAGTGATTCGGCATTCCCCAACTGCGCATCTCGCCTGTACACCAGCATCCCAAACTGGGCTGAAGCACACACCAAAGTAATAAACTTGAGTTCAGGAAAAAAAAAACACCAAAGCTCAAAACCAGAGTAACTGGAAGTTCCAGTTTTAAAAAACTGAAACTTTTGGCCCGTTCCCAATGACCACCGTCCTCTGGGCAACCTCAAGAGATCTCCCTCCCTCCTATCAGCAGGGGACATTTCCTTTCCTATTCCATGTAGATGCAAGCCCAGTCTGGGACAGCACCAGCCCTTTCTCTCCAAATCAGTCTGGTCTTCTCCATCAGAGCCCTGGCAATAAACTGTAACCTGCGATTGCTCAGCCCTTTCCTTTTGCAAACAACAAAAAGCCAAGTGAGTTACACAAGATTTTTAGCTCAAAGGAGGAGAGAAAACATCTTTTTTTTTTTTTTTTCTTCATATAGAAAGAGGTCACCATACTCCACCAAAATGAATAATGAACTACATTTCTGGAGAGAAAACATTTTTTTTTTTTTTTTTCTTCATATAGAAAGAGGTCACCATAC